CAGAAGGACCTCAGTGCCACCCACATGCTTTCACATGCCAGACATTGACAAGAAAAAGCACTACAGCTCCATTAAATCCTTACCATGCCATTTCTCTCATCAGAAGCCCGATATGTTATGAAGTGTGCATGTGGGTGCGTACATTGATGATCCCGTGTGTGCTGCTCACGTTGAGGATAGTGTCATATTTTGGTGGTGAGTCTTCAAGGTGTCGGTAGGGGCTGCGCTGACATCATGTTACCTAAGCAACAGAGGGAAAGAAACAGAGAGAGAGAGGTGGGGGATTGAGAGGGTGTTTTTTGACTCACTGTTAGCGTATGCTACTTGAGCTATTCGCGATAATCTGCAATGTAAAGACCCTGCTGCTCTGTTTTCCATCGCACACACTCTGCAGTTCAGTCCTGGTGTATTAAAATAGATATTAACTACATTAGCATAATTTAGTATACATGAATATAATTTCGAATTTGAAATGCATATTAAGCTAAGCTTAAAACCATAAAGTATAGCAGAATCCACTGCACAGATCAGTGAACCAGTTAAAACAATACATGAAGTACACACTCGGTTCATCTCTACTTCAACAACCCACACACACGAGCTGAGGCCTGGACATTAAGCTTATTACGACCAGACGAATCTTATTCTTAAATAACGAGGTATTGTTTTACATAATTAAAATAGCACACATTCACACACTCATGAACACACACACCTCTCTGTCTCTGATTATACTGATATAATTATTGACTTACATTCCACAAATTTGGTACACTATTATTGTCATCTTCCTCTTTGTGCGCTCATTATACACCGCACCTCTGACAGAACACTGGACCTCAAAAGAGAAAAAAAAGTATGGATTGAAATACTTTGATACTTTAAATACATTGAAATCCCTGTTTCGGATCGGGGTTAATTACCATTGCCCTGTGGACCTCCCAGACACCACGGGACTGAACTGGAGGGATGCCATGTTTCAAGACAAGACCCAGAGCCCAGCCCACCATCACCCCGCTGTGCGGAGCAAGAGCCTGAGCCCACCACTGACGGAGAGCCCGAGCCTGCCTCAACCGACGAGCCATCGCATAATGGAGTGACAGAGCTGAGGATCGCCTCGGAGCCAGAGCCCGTGACGTCAGACCAGGTGCGAGAGCCGGCTACAGTGCTCGCCATGGGGGAGAGCGCTATGGACAGTGAGAGCGCGGGGGGAGGCTCCGCCTACTGCACCATGGCTGAGGGTGAGCCGAGCTCAGTGGACTATTTGAATATATATGCAGACATACCCCCTCTTCTCCCGCCTTTGTCTGAACTATCTGTCTGCCCTGAACTATCTGCCAGTCCTGAAACGACCACGGTGGTCGTTCCCCTGTCCACCGCACTCCCAGTGTTGGGAGTCGCGATGTGGTGTGTGGGCGGCACACACCATCCCTGAACCCTCTACCTGTCTGGATTTCCTACCCAGCCTCCCTCTCCAGCCTCCTCCTGTAATCCCGGTTTCTTCAGCTCTGCCACCGCTGCTTCCTGGCAGCCCCTCAGCTCACCCTCAGCCCACCATCTGTGCAGTGGGATCGCCGCGGGTCTGCCAGTCTCCATCGGTGTTGTGGCTGGAGGATCCCGTGTCTCCGCATCCAGCCTCTGAGTCCTGGACTCTGCCTCGGCCCTCCGACCCAGCGGCTCCACCATGGCTCCTAGCTCCCTCCTCTCCGCCGTGGCCCGTCAGTCCACCAGCTTCGCCGGGCTCAATCGTCCCTCCGGCTCCGCCTTGGTCTGTCGCCGACCATCCACCGCCTCGGGACTCCACTCCTCCGGCTGCGCCTCGTCCCTCCATCCCTCTGGCTCTGTCAGGCTCCTCATTCCCTCCGGCTCTACCTTGGTCCTCTGTCGCTCCGGCTCCACCGCGGCCTTCTGGATCCCCGCCTCCGCCTCGGTCGCTGGAGCCATCTGCTCCGCCTTGGCCCTCCGGATCCTCAACATCACCCTGGCTCTTCGGCTCTCCGTCTCCACCTCGGGCTCCACCACCACCTGCTCCGCTGCCATCGGTCGGCCCCCTGGAGCCGTCAGCCCTTCCTCCACCATGGCTCCTCCCTCTGTCGGCTCCACCGTGAGCCGCCATTATGGCTGTGGCCTGGGACCTGCCTGGCTCCTCCAAGTCCCTCCTTGCTCCTCCCTCCGTCGTCTCCACCCTGGACTCTGTTGGTCGTCCACCTCCCCGGTGTCCGTCCTCCACCCAAACCTCCTCCAGTATTTGTCTGCCTGCCTTCCTGCCAGCTTGTCCTCCTCCCGGGAGTCCATCCTCTGCCAGAGCCTCCACCTGTCTGGTCTGCCTGCCTTCCTACCAGCCCTTTGCCATCCCCTGTCACCATCCCTTCTCCACTCCTTGTGTCCTCCTCCTAAGTCCCCCTCCGTCCTTCCCTTTGTTGTTCCTGTGGCGCGAGGTTGTGCCTTCCGGGAGGGGGGCGAACTGTCAGACCCAAGGACTGTTTGTTGTGTTTTCTTCCCCCATGTGCTCTGTTTGACCTAGTTTCTGTCTCCGTCTGATTGTATCATTTGGTTCAGGTGTTTCGTTAATTATCCTCATTTGCCAATGTATTTATTTCTAGTCTGTTCCTGTGTTCCCTCGTCCAGTGTTAAAATTAAAGACTGTTTACATTCATCTTCTTCTTCTTCTTCATGCGCTCATTATACACCGCACCCCTGACAATTATATCTAATGTTTTTTTTATTATTTTGAAAGCATTAGAGGCACAAATCCATGTTTTTTGTTGTGCGAACTATTAAATGTAAATGATCTTGTAACTTGAGTAACTTATCTTAAATGAACATTTCAAGCTAGTTTTAAACATTAAGGGCCAGATGTAGTAACAGCTTGCACCAGCGCAAACCGTCTTTTGGCATTAAAATAGTATTGTCAGGATTTACTAAAGACGCGCAGTGAAGAATTAGCGCTGAAAAGGCATGGACACAGTTATTTTTGTGCCTGACCTTATTGAATATGCATTTGTAGGAGTTTCCCTTTCAGACGCAAAATTTAAGGGAGGAGAGTATTAAAATAAATCACGCAACGTGATTTACTAACGTTTGCGCTCATCAAATTACTGGTATTTGCGCCATTATTTAACGCCCAAAAAAGCATGTCTTAAAGCAGGCGGTAATTTGCGCTGCTCTTGGTAGATTGCGCTGGTCATTATGGAAATTATCTGGCTGCGTCTGTGTTCTTTAATGTGCACATTGTTAGTAAATCACCCACAGAATTTTACTTAAAATAAATAATTTAAATAAACACTAATTTGCCTTGTTTAGTAAATCTGGCCCCAATTTTCTATTTTCTATGAATCAAATTAATTTTAAATAATTTACTCTAAATTATAATGTATAATGACCAAAACCAAATATTTAGCAGGGTCCCACATTTTAAGCACGTTAATTTCTCTGTTTAAAAAAAGTTTAGACCCTGTTTTCATCACAGAACAAAATCAAGTAAAATTTAAAGCATTTTCTCATTTTTTTTTACACAAACTGTAATATTGATTGCATTTTTCATTGGGAAATAAGCATTTATCAGTAACTAAAAACTAGCAGCTTCATTGAGGCTCATTTATTACATTTGGTCTGAATTGATATTTACTCTTTATTGCTATGTTTGTTGAACAAAATTACACAAATTATTATAAACTGCATTTACATATTAGTAGCAGGGTTATAAAAATCTTAATTAAAAACCTCATATTAAATGAATGGAATATATAACAGCTTATATATTGACCTTGGGTTGACGAATCATTTGCTGAAAGAGAAGAAATATTTGATATTTGAGAATTTCAATCTCTATTTTTGTAGTCTATTCATGGAAAGTGCCACATATATTTCACACATTTCTCCCTCACATCCCATTGCTCCCTCATTAAAGCTTTTGTATTTAACCATCAAATGGTAAAATCTGTTCAGTTTAAGTAGGATTGATTGCTCGCCGTGCTGTCGCTCTGAGGATTTGGTTGAGGCTTCATGCTGTATCACATCATTGTGTTTGTTTTTGTGTGTGGGATGTTTGTGTGGAAAAGAGAATGACAGAAGCTCAGAAAACTGGGTATTTACTAAATTATCTGCTCTGCTGGAGTCACATGTCTTCCATCATTCACACTTCTAACTGTGCTGGGATGCGTCTGCGAGCTCGCTCATCACTATTTTTGGATAATCTTCATTACAGGGTTGTCCAAATCTTTAGGATGCTGGAGGAGACATGGTGACTGTAATCTTCCAGTGTTGTTACAGTATGTCTGCCGGGTCTAGGGCTTTATAATACACATCTATTCATTCGAGAGATTGTCTTTCCTCTGCTAGCCATCTTCCCCGCCCCGAGCAGCTATTACCAACACTGCCTTCCACTCTCTGGCTCTTTATTATCCAACTCTATTAATTAGCTTCAGCATGATAGATGGTCCTGCTCTGGTTTCTCTCTCTCTCTGAATTATTGAAGTTAAAGGATTTTTACTCAAACGAACAATTTACTGCAGTTTAATCAGACCCATCAGCTCATTGCAAATTCTAACCGTCCTACTAATTACACAGAGTCCTTAAACAACAAAACCGTGTTCTGTAAAAAGCAGCAGTTTATGAGGGACACGGATGTACAGATTGAGTTATTTGGTATCGGGTTTGATATATGAGGTACTGGGTTTAAGGTAATAAACTGAAGTATGAGGTATAGGGTTGAGGAATGAGATATCAGGTTTAATATATGAGCTATCAGGACTGAGACATAAGATATCAGCACATTTTGTATGTTTAAGCTTGTGAGAGTGGGCGGCTACTGATGCATGCTGGGATAATATCCCAGTCAAATGGAACAGGTCTTCAGCAAAAAAATAAAAATAAAAATGTCTCAGTCAACTATTCACATATACATGTTTGTGTATTTAATTTGATATGTTATAATACTAAATAAATATGAAAATCATTATCTTTTCTAATTTTTGTGTCTGTGTTTCTTTCCTGCCTAGCCATTGGTGTACAGATGACTCTTGAGATGTTGGAAAAAAGGTTTTGGTCCATAGTCACACAGGTACTAAAACAAATATATCAAATCATCTACTGCAATTACAATTTATTGCTTGCTGTCCGTTTATGCATGTTTATTTTTGTGGCTGCATTCATGTTTTGCTAACCTTGGAAAAAGTATTAATAAACAGATGTAAAATGTAATAATAAATTATATTATATTATAAAACAAATGTCAACAGGACGTCTCCACAAGGATATGTACACAAGCATGTGTGATACAGGCCGGATGCATCCTATCTGTTTAAACAGTGTGCATTCTGTGATGGGAGGTGAAGACAAACACAATAATGTTAGTGGTGATACTCCTGGCACAGGTTTTGTTTGACATTTATGATACTAACAGAAGATGTTGAGTGTCGAGAGAGGGGTGTGAGAGTCCAGACGGCACTCGAAAAGAATGGGGAGCGGAGGCGATATTGCTCTCTACATCCTCCTCAGGGAGGACACTCTTCATTTTTTCTCGTACCCCTGGGATTTTCCATGCCTCCCTGAATGCTCTTCCACCTCAGCTGGCACATTACCACCGTGTCTGTGTTCACTCCTGACTGCAGCGATATTAACTAATGCCTTATTCAGCGAAGTCAAAGATAATGACAACACCACGGTGATTATTTTTACAGTTTTAATGTTTGAAGTTTTAAAATCCAAATCCATTATGTAAATATGTAATATCAACACAGCACACACTGTAAGATGAAACATGCATGAAGTGAGAGAGAGACTGGCATTAATATCTGTGTAAATTGCGTAAGGTTATTCTTAGTCCTAGTTGAGAATAATGAGTGTTTTGCCACTAGAGCACACATACATCATCTTTAAAACAAGACAAATTTACTTAGCAAAGTCATGCAAGATAAAATATTATGAGAGTATACATCTTTGAAGCTTATTTGCCCTACCCCACTGGCATTTTTAAGCATAAACGTAACCTAAAACAAAACAAATTGCCAATGAGGTAAAGAAAGAGAATGTTTAATGTTTTTTTAATGTTTTTCGGAAGAAGTTTGTTATGCTCATCAAGGCTACACTCTAAAAAATCCTGGGTTCTTTTTTTAACCCAAATGCTGGGTTGAGCCCCATTTTTTGGGGTTATTCTTTCAGTGTCTGGGTAGTTTTTGTGTTACCCAGCTCCTGGGTCAAATGTAACAACCCAGTGTTTGGGTTGTTTTGCAGCTCCTGGGTCAGACATAACAACCCAATGTTTGGGTAGTTTTACTCAGATCCAGGGTCAGACGTAACCCAGCGGTTGAGTTATTTATCGCGGGGATTTTGCGTCTTCTCTTCATGAAAGAGCAGTTCTAAGCGCCATCGAATTGATGCATTCTTCGGTAAAATACAGGTTTGTGTACATTTTATTTTATCTATAAAATCGTTACTGTGCTGTATATCATTCAATTTTATGCAGAGCAACATACAGGCGCGCGGTGTGAATCACCTTTAACGAGTGTCGCGGTCTTTTCGCGTGATGGAAAAGCCAGATGGTTTGCATAAAATAAACGATTTTATTCATAAAGATACAGAATATAATACTTTGTTTGGATGTTAAAACATGTCCTCAGAGCTGTTTATTGTTTGTTTATTGGCAGGTTATGGAGTCACAGCATGTTTCGGCTAGAGTGAAACGCTGGGCGGCGGTCCGTTAGCAGTTCCCCGCCGAACATGACTCCAGCTCGGGCACGAGAACCAGCGCCGTTACGATGGAAACAGAATAACAGAGACTGGTCGATTACACGTGAATTACTTCTGTTTAATGTTGAATTTTTGTTCTAATGTTTGTTAAACGAGTTTAAATATAGGCAATATGTATAGCCTATTAAAAACTATATAAACAATGCTGTAAATGATAAATAAAGGAAAATAAAGGAAGTTATCATGCAAACCAGTGGTTGTGTGGAGTATTTTAGAAACGTTTAGAGGATTTAAGTTAATATGTAAACCTTATTTAATGTATGAAGTAAAAAATAAGCTAGTAATATAGTAAAAATGAATAAACCCATTAGCTGGGTTAAATCAACCCATTATGCTGGGTTAAATAAACAACCCAATTTGCTGGGTAAATTTAACCCAAGATGGGTTCTGTCCTATATTTACCCAGCCCTTGGGTTAATAACAACCCAAATTGGGTTGTTTTTAACCCAGTGTTTTTTAGAGTGTATCAAAAATACAGTAAAAACAGTGATTTTGTGAAATATTATTATAATTTAAAATATCTGTTTTCAATTTTATCATGTCTAATTTATTTCTGTGATGGCAAAGCTGAATTTTCAGGAGTCATCACTCAGTCTTCAGTGTCACATGATCCTTCATAAATCATTCTGGTTTGCTGATCAAAAACATTTCAGTGTTGAAAGCTGTTTAATAATTATTAGTGCTGTTCATTATTTTTGTGGAAACCTTGACATTTTTTCAGGATTATGTGATAAACAGAAATTTCAAAAGAACAGCATTTATTTGAAATATAATTTTTTTTAGTAATAATGTAAATGTCTTCACGGTTACATTTTACTGTTAAGATTAATTTAATGCATAATTGATGAACATTTATTAACAAAAAAATATATTTTATACTGACCCCAAACTTTTGAGCAGTAGAGTACTGTATATAAAAAAGACATAATGCTTAAAAATTCGAGCAAATAAATGTATCTTTAGGTTGTTTCAATATTCTTTACAGGGAAACAATGGTCCCTCAGAAGGACTCACAAATGCTTACATTACGATATATGATGTAAGGATCTTTGACAGTAGTTATACTAAATATTTACAGGTCCCTGTGAGAGGAATTGTTTCTGCTTCTGTCCCTATTCTCATCTGATACATGGCTAGAGTAAAAGCACACAGGAGCCTACACAGACCATGTGATAGCTTAAAGGCAGAACAGTGATGTTATAAGCAGGAGTTGAGTTTAAAGCTATTAGTCCTGAGCCTGTGATTTCATATCAATTAACGCTTTTCCTTTTTTTTCCACCGCTGCTCATATTATCTGGATGGATATCAGGCGAATGACACAGATGTATGTATTCATTACAAATACAAGAATAATCTCGATACCATAAAAACGTTTTTTTTTTAACGGTTATCATCATCATCAGCTCTGTTTCTCTGTCTTCTTCAATGTCTGTCTCTCTCTTTCACAGTGTTCAGGTGTAGATGGGCTTTGTCCCCTAAGCTGTGCCGATAATCCGGTGCGTGTCTTAGAGTGTAGTATTTATAGTGCATAAGTGCTGGGCATCTAGAGCATTTGTAGACATATCTGCAAAAATATGTATCGCCAGTCCTCCATAAAACTAATTCAATGTGACAAATGCTTTTCCTTTTTTGTGTTTGTGTGCAGGATGTTAACTGCTACGTCATTGACAGTAATGGCTTCATCATCATCTCTAAGGACAGGACTGATGTAAGAGCACTTATAGCGACAGGTTAAGGTCAACATGAAATGGCATTCACAACCCAAACATCTGTAATGTAAAAGTAAAAATTATGTGTGTGTGTGTTTGTGTGTGTCTATATATATATATATATATATATATATTCTTAAATTATTTAAAGTATATATATTCTGTGTTTTTATCTAAATGTAGTTTATTGTTTAGAAATTATTATTGATTTATTAATTTACTATTTATTAGAAATTCTAAAGACTTGGAAAAATTGAAAAATATAGACGTTAAAAAATTCCTCTTTAGTGTTTGTTTGCAGTCATTCAAAGCCCTGGAGATTTAGGTTAAGATGGGGAATGACACGCAGTAAAATTTCATCTAGAGTGCCGTTTAAGTGGTTCAGTTGAAAACAGGTCACGGTCAAAAAAAAAAAAAGAAGTTAATGAAGTCATGAAATAAAACGGGTCCTAAATAAGGACTTTTATGCTGTGAATAACACAGATTAAAAAAAGCTCTATTTGACGTTGACTCAGCATAAGACGGTGACTGTGGTAATGAATGAATGAATAAATGCATGAGGTGTTTTCCATCATTAGTAGCGGTCCTATGAGAGAGCGAGACAGTGCATCATCAGGGTAAATATAGAGGAGGGGAGGGATAACAGGGGTTATCTGAATAATTCAGCATACTGGGTGCAGTAAACGCTGACTCTGATGTGGGCCTGCAGTCTTACGGAGTCCAAATGCTGTTTAAAATTAGATTTCAGTGCTTTATTGAACGGTAAAGTCAGCATCCCTATGTAAAAAAGAACTAATACAGACTCATTCATTCTGAGCTGTCATTGTTCCTGTTGTGACCCAGAAAGAGATCCTGTTGAAATAAATAATAAATAACTACAATGTCTCAAAGCCACGTGTCTCTGCATTCTCTGTAGGTTGGCAGGTTTCTGGGGAAAATTGATGGGTCGGTGATGTCACAGCTCTTGAAAATGGGCATGTTCAAAAGGTACGAGAACTTTTTTGTTCCGAAACACTTCAAAATGTGACGTAATGCATTAAGGTGTAAATGCTGTCACTGCATGTTTTCCACAGAGTGTTACTCTATGACTATCAGGCCATGTGTAAGGTGAATCCTCACTACGCTAGCGGCGCTCGACCCCTGCTAAGTGTAAGCATTGTCCTGTCTGTTTGAATAACGTCTACCAGAACACAACCATCAGATGCTATCAGTGTTACTTGTAAAGCATTACATTGCTGTTCTTGCAATCCACTGTGCATGGGTGGAGGTCACAGGTCACAGCTGATCTAGATAAAGGCTTGGCCTTCACACCATGACCCTTTGTGATGGTGTAAAGAAAAAAAGATGAGATATATGGTTTCTGTCATAAGTTCTTGAACGGAAATTCTCAGTGTAATTGAAATGAAAGGATGCCAGCTTCATTCTTTTCTTCCTTTTTTCCCTCGTTCTGCTTTTCTTCCTCCCTCAGCCCTTTTATAATCTTTTGGCAGCACTGAGATGGTTCCTGTCGAACTTCCTGTTGTAAGTGTGGCTGTTTGTTAGAACATTTTCTGTGCTTCAAAGCATCGGTGACTCAGTTCATCCCTTGTAAAGACATTTTCTCTCTGCCAGGTTTTTACCGGACTTCAACATCTACAGTCTGTGGCACTCAGATCCCTTTGCGGAGGGTATGTGTAAAGCAAAAAGCTCAGTGTAAAGTAATACCATCATTTCATCATTCATTTGTGTTCCTCACCTGTTTGTGTGGGTGTTCCTGTGTCTTCCTTCTTCATCTTCATCACCTTCTCTCTTATATCTTTAATTCTGTAACCCTTCTTCATCTTGACGTGTCACAGCCAAGACCTTATTCCATGCATGTAAGTGCTGTCTCCATCACTGTGTGATATTGCTAGTGCTGTGTGTGAAAAAGAGAGCAGAGAAAGATTTGGTCATGTTGTTATTCATGATCAAACGTGACATATTTTTTATTGCTGTCTAGATTATTCAAATCACACTGTTGTTGAAAGTGTATAATACAAGTATCCTATAGCTTATGGCATTTAAAAATAAAAGGACACAATTTATTTTGAAAGATAACTGTAGATTTGTTTTGTAGCTAGTAAGAAGTCAAAGGGGGACATCCTGCAGCCCTGTGACACTGAGTATACCAGCTTCGTCTATGAGCCGTCAATCAAAGAAACCAACAGCATGATCAAGTGTGGGAGATGTCAAAAGTAAGCACACACATAGATAATTTGACCACAGATTATTTTTTTAATAAGCTCTTGACAAGTCAGATTTGCAAAATGTAAGGTTGCAATTATGAGAACCTTAAGCTGTTCTTGGATTTAAATCCTTGGAATGCACTTCTGCATCGTCTTTCCGAACCAATTAAGGTTTAAGAAAATTAAACCTGCACAAAAAAAACATGGGAGCAAAGGGAAGTTGTACACATTGAAATCCTTCATTCCAAAGGGCCCTTTTAGATGGCTAGTTTTGAGCACTTCGATTTATAACAACCCTTCAATATGGCGGCCATTATCGTTCTCACTTCAAAGTGCCCCTCGGAGGCGGATTTTGTTTGGAACACAGCATTTATTTATTAGTTTATCAAGCAAAAGAGAGTCTATGCTCAACAGTCAGCTCTACTGTCTTCACATACGTAGTTTCCTGTCTTTTGACGCCCTCTAGTGGTGAAGACAAATAATATACTGGAAAATAAAGCTACAGTGTAACAACATAGAGCATATGACGGTAATATTTAGGAAAATAGCTGTTTTAAGCATATTGCTTTATTCATGGTATTACGGTCCTCTTGCACCTCATCCCTTAAATCCTTAGCGCTTACAAAAAATAAATATGGTACAAGCAAATATTTATCAAACTTCTGTACAATGTCTATATATTTTCACTTTTTTAAACTATGATTTAGAATCTATATGATATATAATGAAATAATAAAAATGACTGTATTTATGTTTGGTCGATGTACAGTTTCTAGCTGAATGTGCTCAAGTCTTACAGTATATGTTGCTATTGTTACCTCCTGGGGTCATCGTGACTTCATTTCGCGAGCGTCTACTCGGCACCACACTCTATCCTAAATTGTATCTGCATTACTGAAATGTTTAAAAACGGTCATTTTGTTCTGAATAACCTTGTTCAAAATAACATTTTGTTCTGTTCTTAATCTCTCTCCTTTTTCTCTTTCTTTTATTGCCTGCAGGATGTTTGTAATTAATCAGATTCCTGATAGTAACTTGCTGTTGGTGGTGATTCAGGCAGACTGTGACTGTTCTCGGCAGTACGCACCCATCACTATGGAGCCCAAAGAGGTCAAATATATCCTTAAAACCCCAGCTAAATCAGGCTCCACAGACCACACACTGAGGAGATGAATCACAGCTTTGAATGAGATCAGTTTAGTCACTTAAAGGTGCAACCAGTATATTTACTTCTTTAGAAATGTTTTACACAAATTACTGGATGCACCTTTTATACATTTTTTTAAAAGCGACCCAAAATGTAACTTAAAGTGGATTACAAAGTGTGTTATATTTCAAAATATATATTTGTGAACTGGATCGAGCTATAAAGCCATGCTCGTTTGTTGCTTTTTCTTCATTTTTCTTAACCACTGAGCACACAATGCCTCAGTGAAATGTGACCGCATGAGATCTCAGAAGATACGAAGAAGGCCTGAGTCTTGTCACGCTTACCACCTTCAAGTAAACACATGCATACTAGATGGCTTTGTTATATTTCAAAATATATATTTGTGAACTGGATCGAGCTATAAAGCCATGCTCGTTTGTTGCTTTTTCTTCATTTTTCTTAACCACTGAGCACACAATTCCTCAGTGAAATGTGACCGCATGAGATCTCAGAAGATACGAAGAAGGCCTGAGTCTTGTCACGCTTACCACCCTCAAGTAAACACATGCATACTAGATGGCTTTCAGACATGCATTGCTGCAATGCCTTTTGATTACTATCCGTCTCCATAGTCGCTGGTGCATATTTTGTGTCTCTGGTCTGTTTTAGGAAAATGCTAAGGACTGCGGTGGGGCCGCGGCAATCGGCTTGTCCATCATGCTGTTCCTAGCCTGTTTATCAGTCTCTGCGCTCATCTGTCGATGACAGAGGACCTGTTAAACTCACCTATAATGCACACGCTCAACTCAGCATGTTTTTATTAGCAATAATATGAGTTGACTAGACTAGAACACATTATTTTTCTACAGTGCAAAGTCTTCAACATTAATTATATGAAGCATTACTCATTACATTTTAAAGTTTGTGGATTTTTTTTAACAGTTCTGGGCTTTGTCTCTTTGGTGTCTGAACCATCAGCAAAAACATGTTTGAAAAATCATTGTCATCAGTGAGGATGGATCGAAATGAGACCTAGACAAGGATGAACAGCAGCTGAGCTTCACTGAACTGTGACATTACAGAGGAGAATTTATGGCCGGTAGCTGTATGTGACTGTATCTCTAATATAAAGCAGAAGAAAAGTGCACAGTCTATTGGTGTGTGTGTGTGTAAATGAGAGTGAAAACCAGGGACAGTTAGCATGGCTTTTCACATCTTTCTCTTGAGGTGATCTATGGACTAAAAAATGACCATTATGCCATGAAAACGAGGTTGTTACGGGAATTTGAAGATGTCTTGTATTTAAACCTTTGATTTTAGTTGTCTGTCCTGCAACTTGCACAAAAACTATTTTTTAACAATTATTATAACTATGCATTATTAATACAATAGATTATACATATCTGTCAGAATAAATTACAAATATGTGTCATGTTTACTTTCTTACATTAAATATCTTGTAATTTGTGTTTTTGCTCAGGTATTATTATATGTGGTTAACTTTTCAAATGCTAATCATAATGACACTGTGAATATTGCATTACAGGAATCCCATGTGTCTTACTGTACACCTAAAATTTAATTTTAAAATGCTTTTGAGTTAAAAGGAGAACATCAGTGATCTATGCTGAAATAAAGAAAGAACCAAGTATTTTCTGGTGAAGTGTTTTCTTATGTTAAATCTTGAGGTACTAAATCTCATTGGAATATATATTCTAAATATTAGATATATTAATAGTAATTATATGAATATATAATATTAAACATATAAATGTTTTTGAAAGAATCTGCATTTATTTGATAAAAAATACAGAAAAAAGTAATATGACATTATCAGAATTAAAAAATATATATATATATATATTTAAATATATTTTAATGTAATTCGTCATTACAGGAATCCCATGTGTCTTACTGTAAACCTAAAACTTAATTTTGAAATGCTTTTGAGTTAAAAGGAGAACATCAGTGATCTATGCTGAAATAAAGAAAGAACCAAGTATTTTCTGGTGAAGTGTTTTCTTATGTTAAATCTTGAGGTACTAAATCTCATTGGAATATATATTCTAAATATTAGATATATTAATAGTAATTATATGAATATATAATATTAAACATATAAATGTTTTTGAAAGAATCTGCATTTATTTGATAAAAAATACAGAAAAAAGTAATATGACATTATCAGAATTAAAAAATATATATATATATATTTAAATATATTTTAATGTAATTCGTTCTTCTGATGTCAAAGCTGAATTTTCAGTAGTCTTACTCCAGCCTTCAGTGTTGCTTTATAAATCATTCTAATATGCTGATTTGTTGGTCAATTATTAACATTTATTATTGGTGCTCAATTATCAATAATGGTTCTTATTATTATCAGTGATGAAATCAGTGTTAAGTTTGCGGCTTAATATTTTGTAATAAATTGTGATTTTTAAAGAAAATTCTAAATAATTTGTTACCGTATAATAATGACATTATTTCCTTTTTGAAATATTATTCTTTTTTTTTTCTATTTTAATATATTTAAAAATTTAATTAGACTTTTCAGCAGTCACTACTCCAGTCTTCAGTGTCACATGATCCTTTAGAAATCATTCTAATATTTTGATTTGGTGGTCAATTAATATCAGTTATTGTATTGGTGCGCAATTATTATTCTTATTATTAATTTTTGCTGCTTAATATTTTGTGGAGATCATGACATTTTAGGAATTTTTAAGAAAATGTAAAAAAAAAAAAGGTTAAAAAAAAGCATAATAATGACATTATTATTTATATCTGGGGTAACTATATTTACAAAATGTATAAAACATTTAAATATATAAATAGAAATACACTAGATGGGTGGAAAAATATATAAGTTAAACAGCTTTGCTTGGTCTGAAGGGGTTAATATATGGGCTATTTTGTCCATGTATATTATTGTCATTTATTCTACTGTAGTATTCTTTCTTGCCAACTTTTATTTTGGAAAAATGTCACGGGCGGTCAGGGACTCGCTGATTTGTTGGTCAATTATTAACATTTATTATTGGTGCTCAATTATCAATAATGGTTCTTATTATTATCAGTGATGAAATCAGTGTTAAGTTTGCGGCTTAATATTTTGTAATAAATTGTGATTTTTAAAGAAAATTCTAAATAATTTGTTACCGTATAATAATGACATTATTTCCTTTTTGAAATATTATTCTTTTTTTTTTCTATTTTAATATATTTAAAAATTTAATTAGACTTTTCAGCAGTCACTACTCCAGTCTTCAGTGTCACATGATCCTTTAGAAATCATTCTAATATTTTGATTTGGTGGTCAATTAATATCAGTTATTGTATTGGTGCGCAATTATTATTCTTATTATTAATTTTTGCTGCTTAATATTTTGTGGAGATCATGACATTTTAGGAATTTTTAAGAAAATGTAAAAAAAAAAAAGGTTAAAAAAAAGCATAATAATGACATTATTATTTATATCTGGGGTAACTATATTTACAAAATGTATAAAACATTTAAATATATAAATAGAAATACACTAGATGGGTGGAAAAATATATAAGTTAAACAGCTTTGCTTGGTCTGAAGGGGTTAATATATGGGCTATTTTGTCCATGTATATTATTGTCATTTATTCTACTGTAGTATTATTCTTTCTTGCCAACTTTTATTTTGGAAAGATGTCACGGGCGGTCAGGGACTCTTGATTTGTCAGAGTGAGCGCGTGTGGGGAGGAGGATCAGATTCAGCGCAGCGCTCAACAAACATCAGCCTCAATAGAGAATAAACATGAGCGATCACTGAGCAACTCTGATCCGCCTGCTCAACTGACGGCCATTCACTTGGCTTTATTTCATCCTTATTTTGATCCTCGGCTGTCCGGCAAACTGTCTAATCTGGAGGAGGACGGGGAGGTGAGAATTTAGAAATATGATGGTGGAAATAAATCACCAGCTTTATGCAGGCTTACGCTCATAATATACGATACAGAAGCAGATGTCTGACGACTAAAACAATCGCAATATTGGTTTGTTATATATCACCTATCCATCACGATGTTGTGCGTTTCTGATAAGCGTGGCTGATTTCAGTCTTCAGTGAATATGACCGTGTCGCTGTGATCTGTGTGGAGTGTCCAGGTTAATGCATCTGTTTTTATAAACCTGTCAAAATGCATGTCACGTCCGCAAGGTCACGCACGCAGACGCGAGGCCGAGCGCGCTCAAATCAAGTTCATCGTTCATTTGAACATCAGTGACCGCAGCTTGAGCAGGTGCAGGAGCCGTCTCAGTCCAGAGCGGGTAGCCTACATTTTACATTCAAACAATGCTTAGACATTAACAATGCTAATTAGGCTGTTGTTATACTGAAAACTGCGCGGCTGCGATTCGGCTTTAAGGCACAAAACTGCAAGTATTTGATATTCAGAACAACAACACTCTTGCTTCCGTGATATTGCCTTTAAGACACTTTCAAAAACAAGAAATTAATCTCGAGTAACTTACTTTTCTGGCAAAAATTGGTCAATTAGTTCAGTTGGTATAATTTTTCTGCCAACGAAAATGATATAAAAAAGCCAAACCGTCAAGTTTCGCGTGAATACAAGCAGCAACGCACAGAATAAACACCGGCCTGGAATTCCGTATATGAATGGAACGGAGCGACAGAATAGAATTCTTCATCCGACTCGAAGCGTTCTGAAATCACCACTTTCGAATTCTACTCCGGGTTTTTTCATTTTCCTACCAGTAATTGATTAACCATTTTGCCGCTTTTTTAAAATTTACGACAGTGTTATTTTAGTATCGTTACATTATAATTTTTACTTATTTTTTTTAATTATTTTTTTTATATATGTCTATATAGTTTTTTTTTTTTATTATTATTAATTTCAGTTTTTGTTTTAGTTGTTTTGGCTCATCAAAAGTGGAAAAAATGTCTCCCTTGGAAACTAGTTGAAATAAAATAAAATAATTTTATTTTCATTAACAGTATTTTTATGGTTTTAGTTTATTTCAACTAACAGTATTTTTATGGTTTTAGTTACCTATAATAACCAACCTTGATTTAGTAAAAGTTATTTTGCTATATTTTTACTGTTGCTGGTCACTGATGATGCTGTGTTGATGATTGTTACTAATAATTATGTTGATGTTATCTAAAAATAATAGAATTTGCAATAAATACTGATTAATCAATTAATTATTGCTGTAATTATTCAAATTTTTCATATACACATGTAGGTATACTGCACATATGGTTTGTTTGGTAGTAAGGCTTTTTGATGGAGTTGCATTCATTTGTATTCAGAGTGCTCTGCTTTGCAAATGATATTCCTGTTCCAGACTAGCATGGCCATGACGGGAGGCATGGCAGCGCCGCTCCCGATGAGTAACCACACACGTG